ATGGTGGTGGTGTTGATGCTGCGTACAGGCAGCAGCAGCTGCTGCTGCAGCAGGAACTGCAGCAGCAGCAGCAGCAACTGCAGCAGCAGCAGCAGCTGCTGCTGTGGAGCTCGGAGCCCTTCAGGGTTTACCCAATGCTAGACGCTCTCATACAGCAGCAGCAGCAGCAGCAGCAGCAGCAGCAACAGCAGCAGCAGCAGCAGCAGCTGCTGCTGCTGCTGCTAGAGGGTTTCGACGCGAAATATGTTTCTCTGTTTGCTGTTGTATCTGCTGGGGTTTTGTGTGTTGCTGCTGCTGCAGTTATATAAAACCCTAAACCCTAAACCCTAATTTTTGTCAATGCTTTACTCTATCACTAAAACCCTAAACCCTAAACCCTTAAAGCTTTAGCTGGTGCTGCATATATCGCTTTCTTTCTTCTCAGGGGTATCTAGGGTTTAGGGTTTAGGGTTTAGGGGTATCTAGGGTTTAGGGTTTAGGGTTTAGGGGTATCTAGGGTTTAGGGTTTAGGGTTTAGGGTTTACGGGTATCTAGGGTTTAGGGTTTAGGGTTTAGGGTTTAGGGTTTACACCGCAACATGTCTACAAACATATTTTAATGAAAACAGAAAACAGCAGCAGCAGCAGCAGCAACAGCAGCAGCAGCAGCAGGAATGGCAGCAGCAGCTGCTGCTTCTGCCGTAGCTACTGCTGATGCTGAGCCTGCTGCTGCTGCCGCTGCTGCTGCAGCAGCCCCAGCAGCAGCTGCTGCTGCTGCTGCAGTTGCCGGTGCTGATGCTGAAGCTGCTGCAGCTGCAGCAGCAGCAGCTGCTGCTGCTGCTGCAGCTGTTGCACCCGCTGCTGCTGCTGGTGCTGCTGGTGCTGCAGCTGCTGCACCCGCTGCTGCTGCTGCTGCTGCTGCTGCTGCTGCTGCTGCTGCAGCTGCTGCAGCAGCTGCTGCTGTAGCGAGTGCTGTCAACAAAAAATTAAAGAATTCGATGGCACAACAAAACGAAGAAGCAGCAGCAGCAGCAGCAGCAGCAGCAACTGCTGCTGCTGCTGCTGCTGCTGCTGCATTTGCTGCTGCTGATGCTGCACTTGCTGCTGCTGATGCTGCTGCAGCAGCTGCTGCATTTGATGCTGCTGCTGCAGCTGCTGCTGCAGTACTGATGGTGCTGCTTCTGGTGTTGCAGCTGTTGCTGCTGATGGCAGTGCTGCTGCTGCTGCTGCTGCTGCTGCTGCTGCTGCTGCTGCTGCAGCCATTCGACAAACACTGCAGCAACAACAACAACAACAGCAGCAGCAGCAGCAGCAGCAGCAGCTGCTGCTGCTGCTGCTGCTGCTTTACTCCTCACCGCCACTCTCGCAGTCTTGATAGGCGCGACGAACG